CTTCGTGTACTCCCGCTCGCGCCTCTTGCTACGCGCTGCGCTGGCTGGCTGGAGCTGCCTTGGCGCCGGAGAGGGGGGGGGGAGGGGCTCAGTGAAAGGAATTTGGAGAGGAGGATGTCAAAGCCGATGCCCATCGCACGATCTTTAGTGAGCGCAGCCGGGACGCAAAGAAAGCTTGGAGGGGCCAAGCCCTCTCTGGCAAAGACGTTCTTTCCCCCTCACCCGCGCGTCGAGCGCCATACGAGTGAGTACACACACACACACACACGCACACACACACACACACACACGCACACGCACACGCACGGGGGGGGGAGGAAAGCGGAGCGTGGGGGGGGTGGGACTTCAGGCCGAGAGTAGCGGATGGGGGCGGCATCACCAATCTGATATTTCTGTGTTGCTAAGCTGTCGAGAACAGAAAGGAGACAAAAGAAGGCGCGCGAGGCGCAAAACAGGGTTCTGAAATCGCGCCGCTTGGTGGGTTGGATGGAGAGGGGAGGGGGGAAGGGGCGCTTTCGACGACACGCCCCCTCCCCCCTCCCCCCCCTCCCCCACAGAGATGCCCCCCTCCCCCTCTTCAGGCCTTGAGGAACTTGGCGTGCCAGTGCACATGTTCCGGCGCAAACGTCGAGATGAAGTAGTCTGATTTTGCGCGGGGCGGCGGCGGAGGAGGAGGAGGGGGAAAGCCAACGTCAGCTCATCTGTTTTCGCTCTCTCTCTCTCTCTCTCTCTCTCTCTCTCTCTCTCTCTGCAACACACACGCGGAGCCCGTGCCGCAAGCAGCAGGTTGGAAGAGGGGGTGGGGGGGGGGACGCAAAGACACAAACTCACATGAATGATCATATCCCTCCTGCAGACGCACCTGCACCTGCTTCTCCTCGTATCCCGCCTCTCTGGCGGTCCTTTCAAACGCCTCTGGCAGCAGTTGTTTCTGCTCATAGAACTGATCGGCCGTGCCGCAGTCGATGAGGATGTTGACCTCTCTCTCCTTCTTGTCCAGCTTGAGCTTGGAGAGCAGCAGCGTGGCGTCGTGTTCCTCGCCCTTCTTCGCATCGGCGAAATAGCCTTCGAAGGCCTTCTTGCCCCAGGGCGCAAGAGTGGGGTGACAGATGGGCGCAAAGGCAGAGGCGGAACGGAAGGATGACTCGCGCAGATAGATTGTTAGAGCGCCGTGGCCGCCCATGGAGTGCCCAAAGATGGACTTGCGCGAGTGATCCTATTATTCACCACGGCAGCAGAAAGCATTCATGAGGCACGTCAGTGGATGAGATAGGTGAGGGGGGGAAAGGGGGGAGAGGGAGAAAGAAACACACGCACCAGAGGCAGACCGGCCTGTTCGAGCACGGCAGGCAACTCCGTGACGACCAAGTCGTACATGTGGTAGTTTGCCGAGTAGGGCGCCTTGTCGGCATTGATGTAGAAGCCGGCGCCTTT